TGGGTGTTATTCGGGTAAAACTTTACAAATACTTGGTCACGTACCGCACAGACCGCTCCGTCACCACTGGACATCACGGATTTGATGAATTCCAACGTTTGCTCCAGTGCATAGCTGTCTACGGAACTGAAGTTTAGTCTCCTATGGAATCGTACCGCCTCTCAATTTTAAATTTCATTTTTTCATCATCACATGTTATCACTGTTTCAGTTCCGTAGACAGCTATGCACTGGAGCAAACGTTGGAATTCATCAAATCCGTGATGTCCAGTGGTGACGGAGCGGTCTGTGCGGTACGTGACCAAGTATTTGTAGAGTTTTACTAGAATAACACCCTCAACTTACTAAAAAAGGCCTCTGCTCTTTCGAAGTCTTGAGAGTCTGCAGTATTTTAGGATGGCTCGTCGGCTTCCTACCACCGTCAACCAGTTGCTGCTGTTGTCGGAGCGGCTGGCAGTCAAGTTTCCGTTATGGTGGCCAGCATGCTCCAGCTTTTCAAGGTATTCCTTTAATATTCAAAATTAGCTTTCCGCGGTTACTGTGGAACCTTCAAGATCAGAAAGTCTTCTTTTCCTGTTACTTGGCTTAATTATTCAGCTCAGGTTAAAATCCATTACGAGATCGCCTTATGACAATAACTGATGTTTAGCGCCGCAGATCGCGCTACGAAAGTCATCGCAAGAATGCTAAGTTATGGGCAAAAGTCAGAAAACAGGCGAGACCCAAACCCACGCTTCACCCTTTTTCATTACACTGCTCGTTTTGCGAAAGTATGCGGGCTTATATCGGCTCTTTCGCGCGGCACGCGGTCTGACCAATCGATACCAACCCCTAGAAGTGCTCACTTTTCAGAGACAACAATAGCCCTGAGGTAAAGGTTTAGCTCATGCGATCACAGTTGCCTAACTATGGACTATCAACCCATCGAACCCTGAGAAAGCGTTCCTGCTGAATCCCATCTTACGTGCCTTTGAAAACGTACGAACTATCAGTCATAATGCTGTGTGGGACACGTTTCTGCACTCATTAAAACGGATGATCGCACTCCGGCTATTAGGCTTCTGCGGAACTCACCCGCTCTTTCTCACTGGTGGTCCATGGGAGACGCATGATTTCACATAAATAACGGACGTTTGTCCAAGTTGTGGCTTGCGAGTGCAGGAACAGAATCAGCGGACCAACTGCATCGAACGCACTAGCAGAGTATTTCCTAGATAGTTGGTTAGACAGACACAACCGCAGATGGAGCCGAGACAATCGACGCTCCACAGCACTTCTTTGACGAATTGAATGGGTCCTGATGCGAATACTGCGTACGTCACCCGTCGTGCAACGCCTGTTCCCACGATTGGGGGTAGCGCTCCCTCTACAAATCGTGCAGTTGGAGAAAAATCTAGCAAAATACGAC